CATGCACAAGTTTCAACAGCCGAATTGACCAAGCAGAAGAAAGAATATCAGAAGTCTAAGATCAACTCAATGAAATAAAATGAGAAACCAGATCAGAGAAAAAAACGCAAAAGGGAATGAACAAAGTCTCCAAGAAATGTGGGACTATGTGAAGAGACCTAACCTACGTTTCATAGCTGTACCAGAATGTGAGGAAGAGAATGAATCCAAGCTGGAAAATACTCTTCAGGATATTATCCAGGAAAATTTCCCCCACCTAGCAAGGCAGGCCAACACTCAAATGGAGGAAATGCAGAGAACACCAGAAAGATATTCCACAAGAAGAGCAACCCCAAGGCACATAATCGTCAGATTCACCAGGGTTGAAATAAAGGAGAAAATACTAAGGGCAGCCAGAGAGAAAGGTCGGGTCACCCACAAAGGGAAGCCCATCAGACTCACAGCAGATCTCTCGGCAGAAACTCTACAAGCAAGAAGAGAGTGGGGGCCAATATTCAACATCCTTAAAGAAAAGAACTTTCAACCCAGAATTTCATATCCAGCCAAACTGAGCTTCAGAAGTGAAGGAAAAATAAAATCCTTTGCGAACAAGCAAGTACGCAGAGATTTTGTCACCACCACGCCTGCTTTACAAGAGGTCCTGAAAGAGGCACTACACATAGAAAGGAACAACCAGTACCAGCCATTCCAAAATCACACTAAATGCTAAAGACCATCAACATAATGAAGAATCTACATCAACTAACGTGCAAAACAGCCAGCTAGCATCAAAATGGCAGTATCAAATTCACACAACAATATTAACCCTAAATGTAAATAGGCTAAATGCACCAATCAAAAGACACAGACTGGCAAATTGGATAAAAAAACCAAAACCCATCAGTGTGCTGTATCCAGGAAACCCATCTCACATGCAAGGATACACAAAGACTCTAAATAAAGGGATGGAGGAAGATTTACCAAGCAAATGGAGAGCAAAAAAAAAGCAGGAGTTGCAATTCTCATCTCTGATAAAATAGACTTTAAAGCAACAAAGATCAAAAGAGACAAAGAAGGCCATTACATAATGGTAAAAGGATCGATACAACAAGAAGAGCTAACGATCCTAAACATATATGGACCCAATACAGGAGCACCCAGATACATAAGGCAAGTTCTTAATGACTTACAAAGAGACTTCGACTCCCACACAATAATAGTGGGAGACTTTAACACTCCACTGTCAATATTAGACAGATAAACCAGACAGAAAATCAACAAGTATATCCAGGGCTTGAACTCAGACCTGGAGCAAGCAAGTCTGATAGACAATTACAGAACTCTCCACCCCAAATCCACAGAATATACATTCTTCTCAGCACCACATCACACCTACTCTAAAATTGACCACATAATTGGAAGTAAAGCACTGCTCAGCAAATGCAAAACAACTGAAATCATAACAAACAGCCTCTCAGACCATAATGCAATCAAGTTAGAACTCAGAATTTAGAAACCAACTCAGAACCGCACAGCTTCATAGAAACTGAACAGCTGGCTCTTGAATGTTGACTGGATAAACAATGAAATGAAGGCAGAAATAAAGAAGTTCTTCGAAACCAATGAGAACGAAGACACAACATGCCAGAATCTCTGGGACACATGTAAAGCAGTCTCTAGAGGAAAATATATACCAATAAGTGCCCACATGAGGGAAATGGAGAGATCCAAAATTGACACCCTATCGTCAAAAAAGAAAGAGCTAGAGGAGCAAGATCAAAAAAACTCAAAAGCTAGCAGAAGAAAAGAAATAACTAATATCAGAGCTGAACTGAAGGAAATTGAGACACAAAAAACCCTTCAAAAACTCAATAAATCCAAGAGCTGGTTTTTTGAAAAGATCAACAAAATAGACAAACCACTAGCCAGATTGATTAAAAAGAAAAGAGAGAACAACCAAATAGATGCAATAAAAAATGACAAAGGGGAAATCACCACAGATTCCACAGAAATTCAAACCATCATCAGAGAATATTACAAACAACTCTATGCACATAAACTAGTAAACCTGGAAAAATGGATAAATTCCTGGACACCTGTGTCCTCCCAAGCCTAAACCAGGAGGAAGCTGAAACTATGAATAGACCAATAACAAGGGCAGAAGTCGAGGCAGCAATTAAGAGCCTACCACACAAAAAAGGCCCAGGTCCAGATGGGTTCACAGCCGAATTCTACCAGACACACAAAGAGAAGCTAATACCATTCCTTCTAAAACTATTCCAAATAATTCAAAAAGAGGGAATACTTCCCAAATCATTTTATGAAACCAACATCATCCTGATACCAAAACCCGGCAGAGACCCAACAAGAAAAGAAAACTTCAGGCCAATATCCATGATGAACATAGATGCAAAAATCTTCAATAAAATATTGGCAAGCCAATTGCAACAGCCAATCAAAAAACATATCCACCATGATCAAGTAGGATTCATCCCGGGGATGCAAGGCTGGTTCAACATACGCAAGTCTATCAACGTAATTCACCACATAAACAGAACCAAAAACAAAAACCACATGATTATCTCAATTGATGCAGAGAAGCCATTTGACAAAATTCAACAGCCCTTTATGCTAAAAACCCTCAATAAACTCGGTATCGATGGAACGTATCTCAAAGTAATAAAAGCTATTTATGACAAACCAACAGCCAATATCATACTAAATGGGCAAAAACTGGAAGCATTCCCTTTGAAATCTGGCACTAGACAAGGATGCCCTCTTTCATCACTCCTATTCAATATAGTACTAGAAGTTCTAGCCAGAGCAATCAGGCAAGAAAAAGAAATAAAGGGTATTCAAATAGGAAAGGTGGAAGCCAAATTGTCTCTATTTGCAGATGACATGATAGTATACCTAGAAGACCCCATTGCCTCAGCCCAAAATCTCCTGAAACTGATAAGCAGCTTCAGCAAAGTCTCAGGATATAAAATTAATGTGCAAAAATCATAAGCATTCCTATACACCAATAACAGACTTAAAGAAAGCCAAATCAAGAACGAACTGCCATTCACAATTGCTACAAAAATAATAAAATACCTAGCAATACAACTCACAAAAAACGTAAGGGATCTCTTTAAGGAAAACTACAAACCACTGCTCAACGAAATAAGAGAGGGCACAAACACGTGGAGAAACATTCCATGTTCATGGTTAGGAAGAATCAATATCGTGAAAACGGCTATACTGCCCAAAGTAATTTACAGAATCAACGCTATCCCCATCAAGCTACCATTGACTTTCTTCACAGAACTGGAAAAAACCACCATGAACTTCATATAGAACCAAAAGAGAACCCGCATAGCCAACTCAATTCTAAGCAAAAAGAACGCAGCGGGGGGCATCACACTACCGGATTTCAAACTATACTACAAGGCTACAGTAATCAAAACAGCATGGTACTGGTACCAAAACAGAGATATAGACCAATGGAACAGAACAGAGGCATCGGAGGCAACACAACATATCTACAACCATACAATCTTTGATAAACCTGACAAAAACAAGCAATGGGGAAAGAATTCCCTGTTTAATAAATGGTGTTGGGAAAACTGGCTAGCCATGTGCAGAAAGTAGAAACTGGACCCCTTCTTGACACCTTACACTAAAATTAACTCCATATGGATTAGAGACTTAAGCATAAGACCTGGCACCATAAAAACTCTAGAAGAAAATCTACGCAAAACTATCCAGGACATAGGAGTAGGCAAGGACTTCATGACCAAAACACCAAAAGCATTGGCAACAAAAGCCAAAATAGACAAATGGGACCTAATCAAACTCCACAGCTTCTGCATGGCAAAAGAAACAGTCACTAGAGTGAATCGGCAACCAACAGAATGGGAAAAAATGTTTGCAGTTTACCCATCTGACAAAGGGCTGATATCCAGAATTTACAAAGAACTCAAACAGATTTACAGGAAAAAAACAAACAAGCCCATTCAAAAATGGGCAAAGGATATGAACAGACACTTTACAAAAGAAGACACATATGAGGCCAACAGTCATATGAAAAAATGCTCATCATCACTGGTCATTAGAGAGATGCAAATCAAAACCACATTGAGATACCATCTCACGCCAGTTAGAATGGCGATCATTAAAAAATCTGGAGATAACAGATGCTGGAGAGGATGTGGAGAAAAAGGAACACTTTTACACTGTTGGTGGGAGTGTAAATTAGTTCAACCATTGTGGAAGACAGTGTGGCGATTCCTCAAGGCCTTAGAAATAGAAATTCCATTTGTCCCAGCAATCCCATTACTGGGTATATATCCAAAGGACTATAAATCGTTCTACTATGAGGACACATGTACACGAATGTTCATTGCAGCACTGTTTACAATAGCAAAGACCTGGAACCAACCCAAATGCCCATTGATGATAGACTGGATTGGGAAAATGTGGCACATATACACCATGGAATATTATGCAGCAATCAAAAATGATGAGTTCATGTTGTTTTTAGGGACATGGATGAATCTGGAGAACGTCATTCTCAGCAAACTGACACAAGAACAGAAAATGAAATACCGCATATTCTCACTCATAGGCGGGTGATGAAAAATGAGGACACATGGACACAGGAAGGGGAGTACTAAACACTGGGGTCTCTTGGGGGGAAAAGGGAAGGGCCAGCGGGGGGAGGAGCTGGGGAGGGATAGCCTGGGGATAAATGCTAAATGTGGGTGAAGGGGAGAAAGGAAGCAAAACACACTGCCATGTGTGTACCTATGCAACTGTCTTGCATGTTCTGCACATGTACCCCATAACCTAAAATGCAATAAAAAATTTTAAAAAAAAAAAGAAAAAAAAAGAAATGTCAGCTCGTTTCCTAGACACTAGACAAGTGGCCTTTCTGCATTGTGACCTGCCTTCCTCTCACAGGGCACTCACCCTGCAGGAGTCTGGTCACTGTGGGTCAGCTGAGCCAGCTTCTAATGCTCCTGCTCTCCTTCTTTCAGGGAACAGCATCCTCCATTCAGCTGCTGACAGCGTGACCAGCGCAGTGCAGAAGGCAAGTCAGGCCTTGAATGAGCGTGGAGAGCGATTAGGCCGAGCAGAGGAGAAGACAGAAGACCTAAAGAACAGTGCCCAGCAGTTTGCAGAAACTGCGCACAAGGTGGGCCAAGAGAGGGGCGGGCTTCTCAGCTCTGGGATGTTGCAGAGCTACAGTTCCAAGAAACTTTATTTCAGTGTTTTCCTGTGATGAGAGAGAGAAAATTAAGCTTTTTATTTCCCCTTTATGTAATTCCCATCTGCTACTTACTAAACACCTGAGTCATGGAAAATTTCTTCTTGTACCTGGTTTCTTTGGGCTCTTTTCTGATGTCTTCGTCCCTATCTCTGACCTTTTGACTTGGATCTTTAGAAACTAGGGACCATCTTTAGTTCCTGTCCAGAAGTTTAGAGCTCAAGTTTCGAGGCACATAATGGGGAGTGGAGGAGAAGAGATCAGGTCTTTGAATATCCCCACCCCACTTAGCCAACCCATGGAGGATGTGAGGCTGCACATGCTTACTTTTCCAGCCTATCCCTTTCTCATCCTGAGTCTAGCACTGTGTCCTTATCTCTTCACCAGACACAAAGTAAGCCCTAGTCCCAGGGCACTACGCACCTCAAGGCTAGTTTTCCCTCTGAGAGGGGTCAGTTCTTACGTCAGGGCCTCAATTCTGGGATTCTGAACTTAACTAGACCAGAGCTGAGCTGCCTGCCATACTCCTTGCTGCCCTGAATCCAGAGAACAGCGTTTCCTGCATGACTGAGCACGCACTCTGCACATTCTCACACTCACTGAGAACTGCGCCTTTCAGAAGGGAAAGGGGGAGTTTTTATTGGCAGCCGGCTATCTAAGGCAGCCACAAACCAAAAGAAAGAGAGGCCCTGTTGGTCAGGTGATAAAGATGATTTATTACTGTTCTTGTGCTTCGGATCAAAGGGCAGTTTTTTTCTGGTTAATGGTTTGAATTTAGGCTTCCAGAAACAACATCTGCTGATGACTTGTGTTGGCATGTCAGACTTATGATCTGGCCCTTCCAATACACTTTTCAGGTGACCTTTAGGAAAAAAAAATTGGCTTTAACAGAAACCCCATTTCTGCTGAGGAAACAGGGATGGATAACCTTAAAAAGCAATGAGAAAAATATCACCAGCTGAGCTGCGGTGACCTCTCCTGGAGGCTTACGCTAAGGTCCAGCTGGGGATCCAGCTCTGAGCCAGTGACTCCTGCCTTCTCTTCCTGCATCCCCTTTGCACAGCTGTCTTGTGGCCTCATTCATTCTCTGTCAGACAGGGTCTTACTGCACTGTTGCCTGTGGGCCCATTTGAAGTTCCTTGAAGGAGATTGACCAGATCTGTCTGCAAATGCAGGCAGCCCTGCTGGAGACCAGAGCCTCAGATTGCTGCTGTTAGTGCAGATGCAAAGGGAGTGAACTCGGATTTCAGGTCTCCCTAGTTCCTTCCTCCCTTCTGCAGCCTCTGTGACACAGAGATAATGATGACATGGAAATGCTAGTTACAGCCTCAGGTTCTGTAACAACAGCAACTTCCGTGATTGCCATGGGAGACGGATAGTGGAAATCTGGGGAAACATTTAAATTGTTGAGTTGGGTAGAGAGGACTAAGGGGAATAACTTTTTAACAGTCTTCAGCTCTGGGAAGGGTAATATCTTTCATGTTTTCCCACACAGAATAGAGCAATCAATAGTACACTGATAAAATTCTGCTAAAACAAGAGTTTAGGTTAATGATTAAACCATGAACCAGGTTACCAAGGAAGATTGTGAAATTGCTCTTCCTAAGGTGGAGTAGACAATACCTGGATGTCATCTACGTAGGCATCCCTCCCAGAGGGGGCTGTACAAACACTGGATTGGATAACCTAACCAGATGGCCTAAATTCTTGGCCCTGGTGGCCCTGTTTCCCCGATACTGTGGCCAAGTTTTCTAGGTAGTTGGGAAAGCAACATGGAATAGTAGTTAACATCTTGTGTTTGAATCCAGCTCTGTCTTTTACCATCTTGGTGACCTTGGGCAAATGCTTAATTTCTCTAAGACTCAGTTTTCTCATCAGGAAAATAGAGTACTATTCTTTATGAGACTAGTATCTACCTTCTAGAGTTTTCAGAGAATTGAATGAGTTCAAAGCTGTTAGTATAGTATGTAACACATATAAGTCTAAATTATTATTTATAATTATTAAAAATTGTTTCTACCAACCCTGTCCTATTCAGTCACATAATGAGTATGACATGGTAATCGCCCTCTAAACTGCATACCTCAACCATCCCTTGGCTTTCTGTTGAAACTGCCCTCTGCAACCCTAATGTGACAGGCAAGCAGTCCAAACCCATACCATCTTGGCCCCTGCAACTTGTAATAAGTAACTAAGGTCTGTAATTTCCACCCTACCCAGACAATGTGTAAATTATCTTGACTTCTGTGAACCACTTAGTAACAACTGGAATATCCAAAGTCCCCTGGCCCTTGGAATGTCCAAAGCCCCTCACCCTCATCTCTGCCCAGGAGGTGATTTACAGAATGTCCAAAATCCACTGACCCTAGGAATGTCTGAAGCCCCTCACCCCCACCCCCGCCCCTCACCCTCACCCCTGAGGTGATTTACGGGCATAAAAGGTCTTGACACCCATGGGTTGGAGAGACATTAGTCCTCCATGGCTGCCGGCAATAAAGACCCTGCAATTTGGCATTCTTTTGTCTTAGTGTTGACTTTCTATGCTCGCTCTGTTATAACAATGAGCACTACAGAGGGACTGGTTAATTGATACTGGTGACTGAGGATCCTCAACACAGGGACAGGAAAGAATGGAGGAGAAGATTTTGTACCTCCTACACCCAAAGGGAAAGGGGTATGGGAGGGCCTCCTGCTAAATGTTGATACTATCTAAACGCAAATCAGCCCTTGAAACAGGACCTGTCAGGATAGAAACTAATGCAGCCACCAAAGGCAAAAGGGCCGCTGGCTTGACCAGTGGAAAAATTTATGCTTAGCAGTTACCTGCTTTCACTCAGGAGGGATGAGGCATGGACAGCTTGTGTTTATTTTGGTTTCTCCTCCCTTAGGTAATCTTGAGGGGAGGAGGAGGAGCTACTAGTGTCTGTTAATGTGTATGAGAGTGTCATGGCCAGACTTGCAGTTGTCTCAAACTAGGATGTGTGCCTGTGAATCACCGGCACTGGCAGTATTCCTAACAAGCAGATTGACCTCTCTAGATAAGGTGTGGCTGTTTTCCCAGGGACTAGGGCTCTTGATTTGGACCCACTAGCATAGGCTGACCATGAAAATGTCATTTTACTGGCCAAGCCACAGCCAGGCCTGCTGGAGAGGGGAGAGTCCAGAGATGGAACCCAGGCATTCTACCCCTAGACAAGCATGGTTCTGTTGACTCAGAAAAGGTAAGCTGTGCTTACAAGTGGGGGCCAGTACACATGGCAGAGTTCTGAGAAGAGAACAGCTGTGCCAGGTGACAGCTCCTTAAGCTCCCAGTTGAATAAGGGCTCCCAACCCCAGCTGGAGAGTTTGGTACACCTTTCTAGATTCCAGTAGAAAAGGGTCTTTGACCTTCTAACTTGTTCCAGGACTCCTGCAATGACCCAAGTGCAAGAGTGCATGGATCACTTTTGCACAACCATGACTTCAAAATATGTAGGTGCTTGTGGTCTACAGTGAAGATAGAAAACGATCCTTCCCCCACTCTCCCCAGACTGACTCCCCCACCTCCACTCTGGTGAGCCTGGTTCTTTCCTGAGCTCTGAGCTTCATGCAAAGTTAACCTGAGGAAAATGCACCACAACCGCAGAAGCAGGTCTCCTCAGTTGCCCTTGCCCAAAAAGCAGAATGTTGCAGCATGTGCAGTGCTTTGACGGCCCCCTGTGGGCAGTGAGTCAGTAGGCAAGAGCATTACCCACACCCAGACATCCTCAGATGACATTTCTTGTGGAAGAAAATATTGACCTGCCCTGTTTTGCACTATCCTATGCGTGTGGGGGAAGAAAGGGTGTGTGGCATTTCTCTCACTGGGAGGCAATGGCTGCCTCTGTCCTTGCTACCTAATGAGTGCAGGTCTGGGTCTCAGGAGCATAGATCTCTATCTCCCTGGTATCAATCATGATTTTATTATTATCATTTAGGTTGAATAGTGTAAGGAATAAAGAAGTTCTCCTACAAAGTTTTCATCTTAGGCTTTAAAGAATAACAGCTTCTTACTCTAAAGTCCCTAGTCATTATTCTAGCTGCCTGGACTTATCCAGACATGCCCAGACAGGCCTGGGCAAGCCACAGCCCATAATGCATGCCATTCCTTATTTGGAAATGCTTCCTTAGCTATCTCTGTGCAACTTCCTCTTTTCTTTGTTCTATTCCCACTTACCTATTTAGGAAAGTTTTAAGTTGTTAGTCAATCAGGCAAAGGATAGAATGTGAGGTCCAGTTCCAGCCAATGTAAACTGGACACAGCATCAGGCAGACACAGCAGGTTATAAATAATTCTGTTTCCTTTGTCTGGCGTGCTCTTGTGGTCAGACGACCATTGAGCAACACCCTTTCTGCAGAAAGTAAAACTAGCCTTGCTGAGGGATCCTTTGTCCCTATGTTGACTCTTTTTGTGACACCGAAAGTCATTCCCAACAAGTAGACTATGTGCATAGCATTGAAGGAGAAATCTTTCCACGAGATATTAAGAACACAAAATACATCAAAAGGAAATTTTAAATTTTAACAACTCTGACACCTAAATTTACCCATTGGCATTTAGAGTCAGAGACTTTTTTATAGACATAAGAGGAGGCTGAGGTGTAGAGCAGCTGTGACTTTAGAGCTGAAGGTCGTACAGCAGATTTGTAGCAGCAGGTATCCTGACCTCATTTCATGCAGTGCTCTTTCTGCTGTACCTTCCTGCCTTCCATATTCTAGCGCTTCTAATTGCTAGGGAATTTTTAATCAAAAACTAAAATGCTACTACTTTCTTAGTCCATTCGGCCGCTATAACAAAATACTGTAAACTGGGTGATTTATATACAACAGAAATTTATTTCTTATGATTCTGGAGGCTGGGAAGTCAAAGATCAAGGTACTGGCAAATCCAGTGTCTGGTGAGGGCCCACTGTTTGATTCATAGATGGCATCTTCTCATCATATCCTCACATGGTGGAAGCAGTGAGGGGCCTTGCTTCAGCCACTTTATAAAAACATTAATCTCATTCATGAGTGCTCTGCCCTCATGACCTAACTACTTCTCAAAGGTTCTACCTTCTAATACCATCACCTTGGGGGTTAGGTTTCAACATAAGAATTTTGGAGGAACAGAAACATTTGGACCATGGCAATAACTCAAATAGCAAAATGTCCAGTCTTAACTGTATTTCTGCAAATCTTAGCTGGTTGGGGCCTAGAGGCTCCCCTTAGCTCCATTCCAGATGCACTGTCTTGGTTACCAGGGTCTGGTTTGAACAGCAGCACAATCACTGCTGAAGATTAATGGCTGTGGGTAAATTGGCACAAGCCCATTAGCTGAAAGTTAACAGCTTATTGAATACCAGGACAGCAGCACTGATCAAATATTTATGGTCAGTATTTATTATGCACAACACTTAACCGCCCTGTGTTGATGTGATGGTCCACATTGCTAAATAATGTATAAAAACTAGAAGCAGAGCCAGAAGTAGAGGACATACAGGGGTGAGGTTCAGAGTGTGGCCAGGAAGTGGGACAGATCTGAGCTAGAGCCCTGGCTCTGCCATTTGCACCGACCATGTTTCCTGGACTATAAACTCTTTGAGGTCAGGAGTCCTTAGCCACTTCTGCCCTTCTTAGCAAGAACTCACATCACTCAGCATGATAGCCTGGGCACATCTGGAACTTCCCAAACCCAGTGTCTGACAGTTGACTGACCATCCGCATCAGAACTGCAGATGTGTGGAGGTCTTCACTGGCATCACCAGACAGAGGTACCAGGAGCTCTTTCAGCTGAGGTTTCCCAAGCAAAGATTAATTTAGCAACAGGAGGACTGATCCAACAATCACAGGCAGTGCCTGTGATAGACCTGGCTGGGGGCACTGCCTGTGATTGTTGACCCTGCCTTGGTGGCTTAGCTGAGATCCCCAGAGTTATAACTGATTTGCTGAAGACATCAAGAAGAGAAAGACTTGGGTTGCCCAGGGTTTTGTTGGAGAATTGGATTCGTGACACCTTCCAAAATAATGCAGAGCACCACTGGATGAAATCAGTGGGATCAGCTTTACTAATTCTTAAAAGGCAGAGAGCCTGGTCAGAATGCAGATCACAGGGCTTTCTGAAAACTTATTCCCTGCAGAGAATCACTTGTTCTTTGCTCAAAGGATTTCTGAGCCACAGAATCCTAACCCCGGTTGTTCCCAGCCCCAACCACAGGAATTAATCCTTGATATCAGACTCTGGATACATGAAGAGTACAGTTCAGCCTCTGTTCTGCCTTCTGGTTCCCATCACTGTATGGACTCCATGGAAAAGATCTGGCTAAGAAAAGCAAAGACAAATTTTATGTTCTATACCTGCATATAATTTCCTTAAGTACATTATGGTGGGCTGGCTGAGCTTGGGAAAATATTGAATGATACTGTGGTATTTGATGTTCCCCTTTATAAAGACCTAACATTTCAATAGACTATGTTTTACAAACACCAATGGGAAAGGCATAAATCAAAGTCAGGATTTGGTGTGTTTCAGCCCCCATCAATAACAGTTAAATCATGAAGTGCTCTGAACTTGGTTGAATATCCAGACTGCATATTAAGTAGATGGTTGTAGATTGTCTCTCTAAAAGCTGTTGATTTTTGATACTTCATGAAATGCCAGTTGAGTACTTACAATCAAGAGTGTTGCTTCTCCTGGATAGCTGGGAATCCCAGCTGTTCCTAGGGTAATTCACTCATTCTGCCTGTGCATTGGTTTTGGCATTTGTTCCTTCAGTGCGATGAAAGAACAGCTCACAGCACTCTCTCCGCCTGGATGCATACACCAGCAAAGCTCTCACAAGGAAGAGTAACAAATGAAATGTCCCATGAACGATTTGAGAAAATGTTGCACATTTGAAGGTGCTACTGTAATCAGTAATGGTGATCTGCCACAGAGAGTAGAATCTTGGTGCTGCTCCTCATTGTGGACTTGGAGATGGAGCACCACAGTGAAATCCCCTGCTAATACCTGCTGTTAAAGTCTTACTTTTCTCATTTTCTCTCTCCTTAGCTTGCCATGAAGCACAAATGTTGAGAAACTGCCTATCCTGGTGACCCTTCTTAAGAGAAGCCGAAGAGTTTGTTCAGCAGTTTTTACAAGAATTTCAGACCTCTGCTTGCTTCTTGTTTCCCAATATGTGGACACTTAGAGTGGTTTTTGTTTTTTTCTTTTCGGATGTTAATGTGAAAGAAAGAGTATTGCATTTATACATTTCCCTAATGATCTTGCTAATAAATGCTACCATAGCATCAGTTTCATTTTGGGTTTTCTTCCTCCCACTGTGTGTATGTATGTATATGTGTGTTTTGAATATGTTTTCTTTATTAAAAAAATATTTTTCGTAGTTTGAATATGAAATTTGGACCAAATGATAAACTGAGCTGGGTCTAAACTGGCAACATGTATTTTTTTCTCTGATAGTAAGCAGTAAGGCGTTTTAATGTGGTGACATCAGATGTTATTTTTCCTAGGTGAAAATAAAAGTCAAGCAGTGATTCGTTTCACTCACTGTCCTAGCTACACTTAATTTGAAGATTAAAATTCTACATTGTGGAAAACAATTGGATTTATTGGGGAAAACAGCAGTCTTAGATTTTGCTCCTTGCATAGTAATCTTGTGCATGAACCATCACCAGCAAAAAAAAAAAAAAAATCACAGATAGAAATCTCCTTCCTGAGGTACAGTTTAAATACTCTTACTACTTGTTTCCAGATGTTTATTTGGAATTGTCATATGAAGGATAAAAATTTGACAGTGAAGACCTAAAGAAAAGCCTACCTAAAACCTGTGTATTCACAGATGTTTCTCTTGTCATTATCACAGTGATGGTCACTGGTATGGAAAAGTGATTATATCTTTATCAAAACTTCGTTTGTCTAAATAAAGGTCTGTGTCAGTGATAATGTGAAAATATACTACATTTAAAATATTTGTCTTGTCTTTTTACAGTCATGCCTTTTTTAGAGACATCCTCACAATGTCCTTTGGAAAGGGCCTTTAGTTTCTTGGTATCTGGATTTTGGAGGTTTTGATGTTGTTTTTGCTATTTATTTAGTGTAATTTAATATGTGAGTTTCTTGACAAATTGCATTTCATGGCAGTTGCGCCTTGCCTGGTCTGATATAAAACACCACTGTCACAAAGCCTTTACATTGCAGTCAGTTTCAATACAGCTGGTCACACACCTCTGGATTTTCTGTTACTCAAGATAATAAGGGACTTATAATCTAGAAGTTTTGTTTCCTAAAGGGTTAAAATGCTGAACATAAAAAAGCTTTATGAAACAAGGAGACAAGCTGCACATCCCAGACACATTGTAAGCCCACCATTGCAGCCCATTGATTTTTAAGCTGCCTGAATCTTGAGGACCCCTATCTAGTCCATTCTTTTCATTTTGCCAATTGAGTCTATGTGTATTGCAGCCTCTTACATAGAAGCATAAGGTGACTTTTGGATTGTTAATACTGATTTAAGGGCCGGGCACGGTGGCTCACGCCTGTAATCCCAGCACTTTGGGAGGCCGAGGCGGGTGGATCACGAGGTCAAGAGATTCAGACCATCCTGGTCAACATAGTGAAACCCTGTCTCTACTAAAAATACAAAAAATTATCTGGGCATGGTGGCACGTGCCTGTAATCCCAGCTACTCAGGAGGCTGAGGCAGGAGCATTGCCTGAACCCAGGAGGTGGAGGTTGCGGTGAGCCGAGATCACGCCATTGCACTCCAGCCTGGGTAACAAGAGCAAAACTCTGTCTCAATTTAAAAAAACAAAAAAACTGATTTAAATAGCTTAAGTTCTCCTAAAAAAACAAAAAGCCATTCCCAGGGAGAAAGTGTGTCTATTAGGGGAAAAAATATTAGACAGTTCACATTAAAAGGGAGATGAGATTTGTCAGAGACAAATTTCAGAATCCTTTTAGATGATCCAATTCAAGAAAACTCTCTATAAAATTTAATAAACTATATAAATTAACTATAATATTTTATACTTTCTTTTTTGTGTCTTAAAAGTTTAAAGAAGTGAGGAACATGACATTTGGTGAGTACCATTGGAAGCTATTTTAGTTTCTACAAAAAGCTCCAAATATCACTCCAAATAGATGTTGTTTGCAGACTTCAGAATACACGCGCGCGCGCGCGCACACACACACACACACACACACACACACACAGACAGATGTATTTGTCTTTCCAAATTAGATTCTGGTTTCAGAGATAGAGTGTTGGTATAAATAATTGAAAGGATAAATCTAAAACCCCCTGACAATCGGCCAAATTCAAGAACAGCATTGGTTGCCAACTCTAACAACAGTGTTTGGGAAGCTGTTTCTAAAGTAGCGGCGGATGAGGTCATAAGCATACTGTCAAACCTAAGATTCTTCCTCCCTAGTAGAATTATGATAGTTACTCTTGATAAATATAAGTATTCCATGTCTTAACCTCTTTCTTCACTCTCTGTTTATCCTTTTAGACCTAAGTCTCACTGGAAATAGCCTGAATTAGAAGAAAGCCCATCTGAATCTTTATTAGCCTTCTCTAATGATTAGTTTCCAGACTATGTTCATACCTCTGACCTCTCAGTGTTGAAGTCCTACCTAGGCCTCCCCACAGCAGAGAGGGCTGTGGCAGCCATCCCTTTCCCTCCTCCACCTCCCAGCCTCTTGCAGAGGAGCCCAGTGATAACACATGTGAAGTTCTTTGCTATCCTTTTGTAGAAGGGGCTGCAGTATAAAATATTAATACAGTCTAACTTAGACAAAATTGCTGGATTAACTCTCATCATTTGGGACCAGTTCGTTTGGTTGAGCTTGCCTGAAGACTTTTTATTTGTTTCATTTCTGCACTTCTCTACGAATTTGGGGATACTATATTTCTGTGAAGGACTTACCAAATTGTATGGACAACTCATAAAGGAAAGAAATTTTCCAGTATTACCACTTCATGGAATATAGCTGTAGTATTTCTCACTAGTATTATTAGATACCTGTGTACAGAAAGTATGCAGTTATTCAGGTTAATGTTTCATATTAAAGAATGTATTTGTAAAATGTAACACAATCAGTAGTTACCTTTTTTCCAGCCCTGAAGAAGTTCAGATTATGTGTTAGACTTAAATTACAGTGACATCTGTTTTAATACTACTTTTGTGGCTAGCAAAGGTTGTGCATCTATTTAAAATTATTTACAGGATGCCCTAAATAAGGGGCATTAAAGATAGGTTTCGCTCTTAATTTTAGAAATTGTAACACTGCTGATGTATGTCATACAATTATTAATTCTTCAGAAGTTCTGTAAGATGTCAAATATAATTTTTAATTCAGAGATAAGTAACACCTGCTCTATTGATTCACTATTACAGCAAACCCTAATTTTGTCATTAAATATTTTGACTCTGTGATCAAAGTTTGTTTCTTGCAGTTATTTATGAAATCTATAAACCACTACAAAATAAGTACATGTCACCACATTTTTTATGCTAATGGGAAAATCTTCTGTGCCTAAGGGGAAACCTCAAAACTAATATTAGCATGCTGATAAAGTGTCATTATATATGTTCTAATGGAAAAGCTTGGAATGTAATAAAGACTAAAGAGCTAACCTTAATTTAGACAATGGGCATCTATACAGCAAGTTTTTTTTCCTTTTCCTAGGTGAGGCAATCAAGCTGACTAATAATTACCTTTCTGCTGATATTAGTGATATGCTCCATTCAAGTTCATATTATAACATGTGCCCTCATTCAGCAGACTAGTTGCATGCCCTGTTAAATTTGAAAGAAGGTTTGCTTGTATCATATCAATTTGTTTTTATGGAAAAGCAAATGCAGTGTATTGTATCGCCCCATTTGTTTTCAAGGAAGTGATTTGGGTGACTACTGCAGCAGAACAGCTGTCTCTGGGTTGGCATGGAAGGTCGGTAAAGCAAGAGGAATTGGAGATATTTCCTGGGAGGAGTGCAGGTGGAAACGAAAGACCTGCACTCTTCACTTTTCAGAGAAGAATGAGTAAAGATTTGGTTCGGGTAGATAGATGAGGACCCAGCCTTAAGTTAATTATGCATTTAAAGGCACCTGCTCTCGTGAACTAAATTATAAGCCGATTGCCTTGCAAAGATTATCCTTTTTTAATATAATTTGTATTAGCAATTATGCCACAAACAACTCTCAAATTTTATGGGAGGATTAATATAAAAAATCAGTTGTGCCTTTCCCCTGCGTCAATGAGAACATGCTTAGGAAAAACAATTGACTTATCATCATCATCATCTGCCTAAGCAAGAAGATAGGGGCAGATGTGAGGGAATGGAAGAGGAGGAGCCGTGGAAAATTCCAGAAATAAATTTCAAGATGCAAATGTCTGAGTGTTGTTTTCTGTTGCTAACCATTCTGTGTGCATTTTGCACTGGCATAGGCTAGCTTGGGTGGTAGCCGGACGTACGTATGCATGTTCACATAAGCATGCGTGGCAGGCATTGAGAAGAGAGCTGTGCGCTGCCCCTGCATAGTCCCCTGAGTCATTTCATGCCACCTTCCTGCCCATGTGGGCATGGGTAAGCAGGGGCCAGTACTTTCAAGCATCAGTGAAACTGTGGCAGTGCCACAGGTGGAGCATTATCAGAGCATGAAGATGAGCACAGATATAAGAGACATGGAAAAAGGACACATCCCACCCACAAAGCAAGTCTCACTTTATTTCTCTAAATGTGAATCCATTAACATTTAATGAGACGGCGCAAAGGATGGATTTTCTTGTGGTTTGCTTTCTTAAAATCTAGAATTTACATCTAAAATGATTTTGTATAACCACATCAACCTGATGCTAAATTTTTCTTCATTCGTACCTTCACCCCAGCTTTTGAACAGTCTTCTTTCTCCTATCCATGTCCTTCCCCTTGTTTCCTGGCCCTTCCTAAATCCTGCTTTAGCTCTCCCTAAGGCATTATCCATAAATAAAGTGTTGGTTTACAGTGGCTTCTTAGAGCAGTTCCTCTACCCTGGCTGCCTGTCACAACCAAATGGGGAGCTTTTAGAAATGTATACATTTTACTCCCAAATTTGCATTTTGATGTCCTTGATCATGTGTGTTTTCTAAAGAAAAAAGGGGAAAAAAGGACTCCAGCAGGCCTGGGATGATGGGGCACCTGGCTTCCTCAGATGTTTACTAGATTTTAAACCAGCAAAGTAAAGCTGTGGAGGGCTGGCCTCATGCCTGTAATCCCAGCACTTTGAGAGGCTGGGGTAAACAGATCACTTGAGCCCCGGAATTCGAGACCAACCTGGGCAACACGGTGAAACACCATCTCTACACAAAATACAAAATTTAGCCGAGCGTGCACACCTGTAGTCCCAGCTACTGAGGAGGCTGAGGTGGGAGAATCACTTGAACCTGGGAAGTTGAGGCTGCAGTGAGCCATGATTGTGCCACTGCACTCCAGCCTAGGTGACAGAGCAAGACCTTGTCTCAAAAAAAAAAAAAAAAAAAACTTGAGAAAATTAAATATAATGTGCATTTAAGCTCTATTACTACTTTCTACTTTAGCGTAACATGCCTTGACCTCCATTTTATTTTCTCCGTTAGCCTCATCTGGAACCTCAGGATTTCCTGAGTTATATTTTCACTTCCCACCTCTATCCCTCCCCTAAAGTTTTCTGCCACATTTTCTTCTTTCTGCTGATAAGTCATGATCCTGAGCATAACAGTGTCTGCTTCTGTGGTCCATCTCACTGGCCACTGACAGTTATAATTCAATGAGGCAAAGCAGCCTTGCCTCCTTCAGCCCACAGGGTCTTATGGACAGACCTAAGTGATGCTGAATTGGTTGGCAATGAGTATTATTATTGCGCTCACATTTTGCCAATGAGACATTTTAAATGCTACTGATTTTCTCAGATAAAGTGAAGATATTTTTGTACATTATTTTCCTGTCTTTTGCATCCTCAACAAGTACAAGGATGCCTGTTTCTATGACTCCCAACCTCATTACACATCCAGACTTAGATGTGTCAAGAACTGGACAGAAATTTCTAGTCCTGCAAGTCCCAGGTGTCACTTGTCAACATTAGAGATGGTGCCTTTGTCCTGTGACATTGTATCACAATTGCTTTGCCACTTTGTCAGATGACATGGAAAGAAGAAAAATGTGCCCATGAGTTCTCTGAGCTTAACTCTGCTATTTAAAATGTGGTTGGGTGATCCACAGCATCTGAAGAAAATCCCTTAATTGCAGCACTGCATCCTTAGCGATCGAAGCCTCAAGCCTTCTGTTAGCTTTCCTTAAAACCATTCCTTTCTTTTACTGCCCAGGAAGGAAAATATGGTTTCTACTATTAAACATGTCATTTTATTCATAGTACAGTGGCTTTTTTCCGAGGGAGTTTTGTGGTTTTAGACCTGGAGATACAGTGACTGATACTGGTAAACACATTTACATTGGTCTGAAACTTTCCAATACTGAAGAAGCCTTGGTATTCAGACAGAAGGAAAGTGTGGGAAATAAGAATGTATGAATTGTGCCCTACTTGGCACCTACTTGGGTGGAAAAATAAAACACATCTCCTTTTAACAGGCGTGGACGAGGACAGGGAGCCCCCTTGCGGTGATTTCCTGGAGGCAGCGTTGCATAGTAGTTAAGATGAGGACCCAGGCTCACCTGCCCCTCCTTGAAATCCAGCTCCAGTTTTATCACGTGTGAGGCCTTGGGCAAGTGACTGACTCTCTCTGTGCCTGTTTACTTCAAAATGGGCATGATCATTACAAGGATTGATAAAATAATGAATGTAAAACCTTTAGCCCTGTGCCTGCTCCATGTATGTCAGCTCGGCAGTGGGCTACTTCTCTATAATGGACCCAGAACAAAGCAGTAAATTTTGCAGGTCTGGATGCCACGCTGTTCCTCTGGATGGTAGAATAGACAAACCTTCCTTAAATTCATGTTAGCGTAGGCAACACAGGGCAGATATTATTGTACTGAGGTATACTCATTTCTATGGCCCAGGAATGAAGATCCCTTGACATTCCATAGACACCAGCTCTGGGATAAAAGAGAGACTCCTGGACTACTGGCATTGAGTGTTGGGCCCTTTCTGGAAATAAATTCCAAAAAGGCTGCATTCTCAAGAGAGATAAGTGAGACAAATTTGCCTCCGTATCTGTCATCAACTATGGGGATGGAAATGAATGGTTTTATGGTCTGGGAGATGACTCGACATGTCCTTTGGAGAATAATTCATACTCCTCTTGAAAAACAATGTTCAAGGTTGTTCTACAGATATATTGGTGTGATTCCAGGGATGCTGGGAAGGCCTTTCTCAAAAATAAGCCACTCCCAAATTACTTAAGTTGAGAATAATTTAAAGAAAACCATTTACTCCACAAATTGAACCTGGGCCTAGAGTGAAAATAGCTCTAAGAGAAAAAGGAACTAATATATCACCAATGTGAACATTTGTAATAACACACCTTTTCTGGAAGCATCTTGAAGGAAGGAAGGCCTCAGAAATACTATGTTGTCAGCATACCAGGTTCCCCCAGAGTTGCCAAGGTGCTATTAATGACCAACATTATTAGGTCATTTGTAAAGGACAGTCCAAGCAAGAGGGTTCATGCTACTTATAATGGTAAACCTGCCTCAACCAAAATCCAAACTCCACTCCTCTAAATATTGCACTGTGCATTATACTCCTGGCCTCAAGTGATCCTCCTGCTTCCCATCCCAAAGCACTGGGATTACAGGTATGAGCCATTGTGGCCAGTCTACAAATTTCTTTTTGAAAAAGTAAATTAGGGCCCTTTCTAGCAGAGTTCCTCCTGGCTTTGTTACTAGCTTTGTGTTCTTAAGCAAATGACATCGTTTATCTGTATCTGGATCTCTCTCTTGCACAAGAAAATCGTCCCCACCCTGCATGCCTCAGAGGCCTGGTAGGTGAAGTGAGTTGTGGAATGTGAAAGAGCTCTGGGAAGTGCAAAGTGCTGAGGAGGTGTGCATTACTCACTAAAACCTTGATCTTCCACTGGTCCCACTCAACATTTAGGGGATTCCCGTATCTACCACTACCCCTTCCCCTACAAGCTCATGCCTGAAGTACTAGACAGTAACATGACTTCCCTCTCCCCCTCAAAGGAAGAAAATCTCCTGATACTTGGACTCCATTTGCCGTGATGGGAAGTAGAACAAAGGCCATAGTAGAAGGCAGTTCCAACCTGCTCAGGGAAGGAGACAGCTGGACTGGAGACCACCCTGGGGAGGCGGAGATTCAGAGCACTCCAGGGGCTGAGGGAGAGTGCGGTGCCGGACAGTCAGCCTGTATGCAGTCCTCCCCAGAGTCATGAACAACGCTGCAGAGTCCTACACACTGTTGTGGAAAAACTGATCTCTACCCACCTGGGAAGACTTGTTGGAAACAA